TGTATAAGAGGTCAAACAGAAGACTCTAAAAGGTTACATAGGAAAGCTCAGTTATCAGAATGTCATCAAACTACTTAATAGCAAAATCAGAGCAAAAACATCAATGGGTCATGCCCTCAAAATTCTTAAAGGTATCCAGACACACTATGTTATCAATAAAGTGGGAGGATAAAATAAAAATATTTTCAGACACCCAGAGCCTCAAAAAATTGTATCTCCCATGCATTTTACTCAAAAGGAGAAAAAAGATACCTAATCTAGGGGTGCCTGGGTGGCTCAGTCGGTTGAGCGTCCGACTTCAGCTCAGGTCATGATCTCACGGTCTGTGGGTTCGAGCCCCGCGTCAGGCTCTGTGCTGACAGCTCAGAGCCTGGAGCCTGCTTCGGATTCTGTGTCTCCCTCTCTCTCTGCCCTTCCCCCGTTCATGCTCTGTCTCTCTCTGTCCCAAAAATAAATAAACGTTGAAAAAAAAAAAAAAAAGAATGCCTCACACCTGTGACTCCTGAGACAAAGCAAGAGCTAATTATGGAAGATTTAACAGAATGGTTTGAGGTTGGCAACAAAATGACATGCTACCCCCTCTCAATCCCCACTGAAACAGGTATTAAACCATATTGCCTATTCAAGGTTTCTTCCATGAAGCAGCGAAATTATTTACTCTTCCTCAAACATCAAACTCTCACTAAACTCTGGCTGTAATGGTTCATCTGTCTAGAATAATTCCCTCCCATCCACTTATAGAAACTCGATCACTCCTTTAAAGCCCAACTCATGCCTTATGAACTTCATAAAACCTTTCCCATTTAGGTTCAGAATGACAGCCCTCTAACATAGATCATTTAAAAAATTAGTGCAGAGGCACCTGGATGGCTCAGTCAGTTGGGCATCCAACTTCAGCTCGGGTCATGATCTCATGGTTTGTGAGTTCAAGCCCTGCCTCGGGCTCTGTGCTGACGGCTCGGAGCCTGGAGGCTGCTTTGGATTCTGTGTCTCCTCTCTCCCCCTCCCCCACTTGTGCTCTGCCTCTCTCTCTCTCAAAAATACATAAATGTAAATAAATAAATAATCAGTGCAAAATGATGGGTATGATCCACTTAATAGTTTAAGATCTCTAGGTACAACAATTACACTGTAACTTAGACTTCTTTCTCTCTCCCTTGGATACACAGATATGAGCAGTCCCCCAATTAGTCCCAGTGTAATGTTCTTTCCACTATCTCACTTACGCATACTTTAACTGGACACGTATCTCGAAACAGTGGATGGGCAGGCACATGATTTATCATTTTGCTTATATTCAGCTGGCTCTCTTTCCACCTTCAGCTGCTCCAAGTCTCTACTCTTCCTCTCAAGAGCACTAAACACTCCTCCTCACCAGCATGAGAAACAACTCATTCAGTAACAAAACAGAAGCTGTCCAGGTGTGCATCCCTCCACCATGTCTCACCATCCACTTAGAAATATGTTTCTTCACCAATCCTAACCTCAGTTCCTCCTGTCTCAGTATGTCCTTATTCTATACCCAAAAGTTAATTTCCCTACCATGTTCTTGATCTCATCCTCTTCAAATTCAAGCTCTCACTCTACCATTTGTTTCTTTCACTTTTCAGTCTCTCCCTAAGGCTCCTTCCTCTCAGACAACAAGTATGCTCATTTCTCTCATCATTTATGCCTATGCATTTATTAAACTATTACAATGTACCAGAAAATGTTCTGTGTGCTAAGGCTACATCAAGATCTCTGCACTCACAGAGCTTACATTCCAGTGGGGAAGGTTGACAATAAACAAGAAATAACTGAAAATGACGGTTTCTGACAGTAGGTTAAGCATTACGATAAAAATAAAACAAGTAATTCAACTGAGGTGGAGTTGTACAGAAGAGAATGGGGCTAACTCTGCTTAGACCGGTTGTTTTGAGAAATCCTCACTGGAGAGGTAACATTTAAGGAGCTGGCTACGTGAAGACCTGGAAGCAAAGGAGTTTAAAACATAGAAAAGGAAATATACAGACGTCCAAAGGGAAACTGCCTTGGTGTACTTAATGACATAAAAAGGACCTTGTGACTAACATAATGAGGCTAGTGGGGCAGTGGTACAAAAACGAAGTCAGTGGTAGGCAGGCACCAGACATACAGGCCATGGGGACAGAATATGGATTTTATTCTACACAGAACAGGAAGCCACTGAAGGCTCTTAAACAGGGAATGATGTGATTCGATCATTTACAAACCTCAAACATACAATACTAACATCTTTAGTTCCATACAACTCATGTTTCCACAGTTTGAAATTACTGCCATGTACTCTCCACTCTGTTACTTGAAGCTAGACAAACTGAAGAAATTGCTTCAACATCTGTATTTCATGCGATATCAAATACCGACTGGCTTTGAATGAAAGTTAAAATCAGAAGGTAGAGAATGAATACGTGTGGTTAACAAACTTGATAAAGCACACTTACCTGTTGATTTCCTTACATTTAACGAGTTAGTCCACAAATCACAATCAAGACTGTATTTTATCTTTTCCCAGATTTTGAGCTTCTAATCCAAAAATTCAAACTCACCTCGACAAGCTTCTTCAAAATCTTGGGTTATGTCCACCCAGCTTGTATTGCTTTTTTCCATCTTCTCTGGTATACTGAGCTCCCATCCTGAATCATCATCTTCTACAGAAGCTTTCATGACCATAATGCCTATAAAATTAACACTGGTGTAAAAGAGATTGTGGGTTTCAAGGCAAGGGTATTTTTGCAATCCTTGTGTGTTTGCTGAAGTACTCGATGGAAGTCTTACTAAATTGCCAGACCTCATCCGAGTTTGAAGATGGTACTGGAAAAAAAAATACCTTAATGCAACTATCTTACACGGACACTATCGCTGTTCATTTACTAATAGTCCAGCACCTACCAAGGCTCTAAGAGTTTGCCTTCCCACTATCTAAGAAGAAAAATCACAAGCCGCCCCACCACTGGCCCCAACAGAACCAACTCCAGAGCTTTCAACTTTCCACACTGGCCACAAATGGCCAAGACACTCTTCACAGTCCCCTCCTGCAGCCCGGGAGCCCATGAGGCAACTACTCAAGTCAGGGTGGTCCCTCACCTGGCCGGAACTCTCTGGGCCGACCTGGACCTCCGCATAGCCTCGCACGGTGGGCATGGAGTGCGGGAGCGCCTCGCGGGGTCCAACCCACCCGGCCCAGGGTGGCGGCACACCTGAGGCGGGGACCCGCCCCACGTCCGCCCTCCCCGGGTCGGGTCAGCCCGGCCCGGCCCCGGCCCCGGCCCCACAGGGCACGGAAGCAAGGGCAGAGCTGTCGACGCGCGGGAGGGCGGGCACGCCCGGTGCCGGGTCGTCGCCCCGGCAACACCCGGCAAGGCCCGGGCCTCGGCGGGCAGCGGACTCGGGGGAGCCTCCAGCTCCTACCTGAAGCGCGGCGGGAGGGCCGGGGCCCCAGGGTGACCTGGCGTCCCAGGGTCTGCCACACGCACGGGGGGCTGCGACTCTAGAACACTGGAGGGAGGGAGTTTCAATGGCTCTGCGCTGGCGGTCCCTACCTACTTCTCCCGTGGCCGCCCGCGCCGCCACGCACCGTCCAAACCGCGGAAATAACGACGCCGCCTCTGCCGCCGCCGCCCCCTCCCCTCAGCCCTGCCCGACCGGCCGCGTGCGCGCATGCGTACGCCGGGTGCGCGCGACCCCGCCCCCTCTCCCTCACTCCTGGGGACTTCGCATACCCCGGCCACACCCCCTCCCTCACCACCGCCGCCGACGGCAGCCGACTTCTCTTCTCGCGGGATTAGAGCCATTCGCGAGACCGGAAGCTACCTTCCTTCTGCCTCAAGCCGAGTCCCGGGCAGTGGGCGGGTCCCGATGAGGGGTGGAGCCAGAGGGGGTGGTCTCAGAGCTGGCCCAGATGGGCTCCGTGGGATATTTTTAGAAAGGTACCGCTAAGGGGGGGGGAAAAAGCAAGGACAATATTTGTAGACCTTAGCAGTTGTGGCCACGCCGGAAGAGCCTGCCTGTGAATTTCATCGAGCTAGTGCTTCCTGACACAGGATTTATGTTTCCTAGAGAGCCTGGAGGTTTCTTGGGGGAAAAGAGAAACGAAATATCTAGAGTCAAGCCATTTTCTTTGAGACTTGTAAATATTTTACGTTTTTCTTAAAGTTAACAAAATGATCAGTTTTAAAGTGGGATTATGCAAGTAGACTTCCACGAGTAAGAAGCACATCTTTACCACTAATTTAATTCCCATTAAAATGGCCAAAATTTAAAAGACGACACCAAATGTTGACAAGGATTTGGAGCAACTGGACCTCTCCTGTTGCCGACGAGAAAGCAAGATGGTACAATCACTTTTAACAGTTTGTCTTTTACCAGAAAATTTATCATACACTTACCATTTGATCTAGCAATTCCACTCCCAGGTATTTTCCTAAGAATACGAAAATATGTGTCCACTTGTACCTTACATTTCATAGCTTCATTTTTAATAATCCAAAACTGGAAACCCATATGTTCATCTACTGGTGAATGGATAAACTTATCGCTCATCCATACAATGTAATGAATAATAATTACCAACAAACAGGGGTGAACTACTTGACATGCAAAATCATGAATTGCAAAAAAAATTATGTTGAGCAAAGGAAATAAAAAGCATAAGCAAAAGAATATGATTCCATTTATATGAAACTTTAAAAAAATTTTTTTAACGTTTATTCATTTTTGAGAAACAGAAACAGAGCATGAGCAGGGAAGGGGCAGAGAGAGAGGGAGACACAGAATCTGAAGCAGGCTCCAGGCTCTGAGCTGTCAACACAAAGCCCTCGGCAGGGCTCGAACTCATGGAACTGCAAGGTCATGACCTGAGCCAAAGTCAGACGCTCAACCGACTGAGCCCCCCTGGAGCCCCTATATGAAACTCTTAAAAATAAAAATGCAATTTATACTGACAAAACAGAGCATTGAGTGCCTAGATGTCAAGGAAGGATTAACTAGAATAGGGCTAGATGATTTGAGGTGATAGAAATGTTCTGTTTCTTGATTATAGTAGCCACTATACAGTAGCCATTTTAAAAAAGTAAAAAGTAATCTTTGTGTCTCTTACAGAATAATAATTTTTATAACGGCAGGAGCTTTGCCAGTTTTGAACAAAATTATATCCACCTCACTTAGGGTGGTGGTTGGCAGGTAGTAGGTTCTCACTAAAGGCACTAAGGATGAAAATATAAGGACAATTACAATAAAGAAAATCTATACTGTTTCTCCAAAACCATTTGCTGAACTTTGCAGAGGCCATAAGAAATCTAGAAAAGGATGAACTGACTGCATCTGAGTTATTCAGTATTATGGGTAGATTGTGACAAAAACTGATATAGCAAGAAAACAGAAAAACAAAAACCCCCTACCAATGTTTTGAAATAAGACTGCTTCAGAACTCAAAAACAAAACAAAACAACAACAACAAATCACCAGAACAAGGCAGCCAAATGAAAAAGGATTTTCTTAACTTCTTTACTAAAATTGTAATTTACCTGAAATTCAAGTTAATTTTCACAAGCTCTAATTACCTCTCCTCTTTAAAAACCATTTTCCCTGGGCAATTGGGTAGCTTAGTTGGTTGAGCAGCTGACTTTGGTTAATGCCATGATCTCGTGGCTCCTGAGTTCCAGCCCCACACTGGGTTTCCTCCTGTAAGCCTGTCAGCATAAAGCCTGCTTCAGATCCTCTGTTCCTCTCTCTCTCTCTCTGCCCCTCCCCCATTGAGCTTTCCAAAAAATAAATATTTTTTTAAAAAAATAAATAAAAATAAAAATGATTTTCCCTGAGAGGCTTAATTTATGATGACATCCCATATGCCTCACAGTCTTAAAAAATGATGAATATTTTAGACATTAGATAAACTACATGATGAATAAATGAATGTAATCGATCAACAAATAGTCTGTCTACCTAAACATGTCTACAAATATAGAGTAGATGAGCAATTTGGCCAGCTGGAAACAAATTCCCATGAAACTAAATCTTGACTCATAAAATCCTAAGTATTCCATGCTTAAACATTAATATTGAAAGGAAATTTAGCTTGATATGATTATTTTATATTGATACAAGGAACCAGTGTAGCATCAGTTTGATAAAGCAGAGCTACCAAAGTGACCTTTATGTCTGAGTGTATCCAGTTTTATCACTACATAAAATAAATTAAGGATGTCCTAAAGCCTGTAGGCAGTTCAGAGAAATGCTTTCAAAAAAAGGAATCAGAGTAAAAATACCCTACTGTTCCATGTGACAGAAAGAAACATGGCATTATTTTTTTTATTAAGTATAGGTAAAATCAGTTTAGTTAGTTCTATTGTATTTAATTCTCCTTTTTAAAAGTCTTATACTTATGTATCTCAAGAATACACAGTATAGGGACACCTGGGTGGCTCAGTCAGTTAAGTGTCGGACTTCGGCTCAGGTCATGATCTCGTGGTTGGTGAGTTCGAGGCCTGCATCAGGCTCTGTGTTGACAGCATGGAGCCCGGAGCCTGCTTTGGATTCTGTGTCTCCATCTCTCTCTGCCCCTCCCCCCACTCACACTCTGTCTCTCTCTCTCTCAAAAATAAATAAACATTAAAACATTTTTTTAAAAAAGAATACATAGGGGCACCTGGGTGGCGCAGTCGGTTAAGCGTCCGACTTCAGCCAGGTCACGATCTCGCGGTCTGTGAGTTCGAGCCCCGCGTCGGGCTCTGGGCTGATGGCTCAGAGCCTGGAGCCTGTTTCCGATTCTGTGTCTCCCTCTCTCTCTGCCCCTCCCCCGTTCATGCTCTGTCTCTCTCTGTCCCAAAAATAAATAAACGTTGAAAAAAAATAAAAAAATAAAAAAGAATACATAGTTATACAATAGCCAGGATATGAAAGCAGCCCAAGTATCCATCTATAGATGAATGAATAAAGAAGATGTGACACACACACACACACACACACACACACACACAGACACACAATGGAATATTACCCAGCTATAAAAATCATTTGTGACCACATAGATGGACCTAGAGGGTATTATGCTAAGGGAAATATGTCAGATGGAGAAAGACAAATACCATGTGATTTCACTTACATGTGGAATCTAAAAAACAAACAGAAAGCAGAAACAGACCCGTAAACACAGAGAACAAACTCTCAATTGCTAGAGGGGAGAGGGCAAGGGAATGGCCCAAATGGGTGAAGGGCAGTGGATACAGCCTTCCAGTTTGGAATGAATAATTCATGGGGAGAAAAGGTACAGCATGTAGTCAATGATACCTTTAATGGCTTTGTATGAGAACAGATGGTAGCTACATTTGTGGTGAGCATAACATAATGTACAGACTTGTTGAATCACTATGCTGTATACCTGAAATTAATGTAATATTGTGTATCAACTATACCTCTGTATAAAGAAAAAAAGTAAAAGGATACACAGAAATCCAATAAAAAGTTATTTAAAAAGTTAAAGTAAACTTCTGTATTAGAGGATAATGTATAATTATCCTCTGTAAAATGCTTGTAATGTGTCATTATAAATACATTTTCTCACACATTTTTAATTAGTTGTTTCCATCCATCCCTTATTGCCACTGTTAACTAGTCCTGTAGTTTTGTTTAAATAACAGCATTTAAGTAACAGAAAATTCAATACAGAATAGTTTCAAATAAACATCCAGTTTTCATAATTTAATATTAAGGTGATAACACGTGTGTATATTGTATATGTCTTTTTTCCCGATATGGCTGTGTCCTGGATTGATAGCCTAAAAGTGGAGTCCCAGGGACACCTCAGTTGGAAGAGCATCTGACTCTTGATCTCGGGGTCATGAGTTTGAGTCCCACTTTGGATGTAGAGATCACTTCAAAATAAATAAATAAATAAATAATCCCCAACTTCACCGAGTGAATGTACCATAATTTATTCAACTAGCTCTCTGTTGATGGACATTTAGGTTGTTTCCAGGTTTTACCATTATAGATGGCATTACCATGAGAAGCTCTGCACCTATGTCTCTTCGCAATTTTGCCAGTGTATCCCATAGACAGAATTTGGGGTCTAAGTATACATGCATTTGTAATTTTATATTGCCAAATACCCTTCTACCAAATTTGTTCCTTTTTTTTCTAACATTATTTTAAATTTTATTTTTTATTTTATAGACAGAGTGAGTGCAGGAGCAGGGGCGAGGAGCAGAGTGGAAGAGAGAGAATCTTAAGCAGACTCCATGCCCAGTGCAGAGCTCGATACGGGGTTCAATCCCATGACCACGAGACCATGACCTGGGCTGAAATCAAGAGTTGGACACTCAACCAACTGAGCTATCCAGGTGCCCCAAGTTTGTTCCTTTTTTAATGTCCACCAGCAACATGCAAGACCACTCATTTTCCCATGGCCTCATCAACACAGTATATGGTCAAACTTTTAGAGTT